CATCTGATGGAAGTGTTGCAGGTAGAGGAAATATCAGGTGCAGGCCAGACACAGTGGCTCACACATGTAATCCCAGCACTTTGGGAGGCCAAGGCAGGTGGATCACCTGAGGTCAGGAGTTCAAGACCTGCCTGGCTAACATGGCAAAAGTCCATCTCTACTAAAAATACAAAAATTAGCCTGACGTGGTGGTAGGCACCTGTAATCCCAGCTACTGGGGAGGAGGCTGAGGCAGGGGAATCTCTTGAACCTGGGAGGCGGAGGTTGCAGTGAGCCATTACACTACAGCCTGGGTGACAGAGTGAGACTCTGTCTAAAGAAAAAAACAAAAAATCAGGCCCAAAGGCCCAGCGGAAGGACTGTGCCTGCCTGGAATGTATAAAGAACAGCAGGGAAACCAGTGTGAGCAAGTCGGAGGTATTATGAGAGAGGTCATTGGAGCTTCTTTATGGAGGGCCTGGCAGGACATGGTTAGATCTTTGCAGTTTACTCTAAGACAGAGGGAAAGCTATCCAAAGGTGTTGATCAAGAAAGTGATAGGGCATATCCTATCTTTTTAACCACAATTGAGCAGTTGTACTGAAAATAGGTTGTAAGAGGTGAAGGGCAGAAACAGATAGACCAGGTAGGAAGTACTGTAATAATCCAGGCAAGATTTTATGTTGCTTGGATTAGGGTTGAAGGCAGCAATTTCTACATATAAAGTGCTTGTAACATTGCCTGTCACATAGTATTATAATTATTATTTTTAACACTAATACAAAAAATACAAGATATCCTTATTTTCTACATCATGTTTCCAACAATTATGACATCATAGTCTGATGTTAATAATTCACTATGTTCAGTAATATTATAGCTGAGTTATGGCTTCTAAAAATATTCAACTTCTTCTATTTTGAAAAGTTAAGAAAGTTCTTATTGTGACTAGATTTTCACGATGTTGCCAGGATATATCTTTTAAATAATTTTCCCCTTATTGGAATGTATTTAGTTCATTTAAAATATAATTAGGTTCCAACTTGCAATCCTTCTAACTAGGAAGTCTGACGTACGAAATAAAGGGAGAGGCTTGTTAAAGTTTTGGGCTCTTAAACATTTTTTCCCTTCCCTGGGAGTGCAAAATTAGGAGGCAGAGTGTGGTTGCAATAGTTGTAGAATTATGAATAGCAGGCACTTTGGTTGAAGGTTTATATCTCTCTGAAAGTGGGACTAGGGTGGGAAGATTGTGAGAAGATAACTCTTTTTTAGAAACAAGAGATTAAATATGGAATGTTAAATGTTCAGCCAGCTGTGAGTGGGAGAAATTGAAATCAATCCTGTCATTCTTCTGCTTTTGCCTAAATCAGAATACTGTCACTGGATCTTAGGATGCCTACGAAAGCATTAGGAGTACTTCGAATGAGTAAGACGAATTCTAGAGAAGCTCTCCAGTAGTTGGCCACCTGGTTGTGGCATTAGAAAGTCCTCTAAACGGGTTCCAAAGATGACCTAAGTGTAGATGCAAATGTAGACATTCATTCACTTAAGAAATATTTGTGAACATGATCTATATACTAGGAGTTCTGATAGGGACTGGGGGATTCCAAAATAAATAAAAGTTTCTGTCTCATAGAACTTACATTGCAGTGGTGAAGATAGCCAATAAACATTTAAGCAACTGAAAATGTAATATAGTGCTACACAGCGATAACTGTGAGGCAGAAAAACACAAAGGGTAAAAGAATGCAGAGTGACAGAATGTGCATTTTGGAAACGCTGTTTAGGGATGAGATCTCTGATGAATTGGCACGAGAACAAGACAAAAATGCAGCAAAGATGTAAGCCGCCATGTATGTATTCCTGAGGAAAGCGTTCCAGGGGAAGAAAATTCCAAGTGTAAATTCCTTGAGGTGGGAACATTTCTGATGTGTTCTCAAAAGAGCAAAGAAGGCCAGGTGACTACCCCGAGGGCGGGAGGAGAGAACCAGAGAGAGAGGAGACTGAGAGGCAGTTAGTGGATAGGCTGGGAAGAATGTTGGGTTTCTGTGTCATGGGAAGCCAGTGATAGCTGAGACGATCAAAGTGTTGATCTGATTTGCATTCTGGAAAGATTATATTGCAGAGTAGTGAGGGGAGGGAAGCACAAGAGGAAATAGAAAGTCCAATCAGGTAGCCATTGCAGAAACCCAGGGGAGACCAGGACATGGACTAACTTCCCAGTGACCGACTTTGAGATGTATTTTTGTAGGTAGAGGTGACAGTGTTTGTTCATGAATTGGATGTGAGATGTGGGATTAAAAGAGAGAGAGAGAGAGAGAGGACTGGTGCAAAACTAGCTGTGTGAATTGTGATGCCATTTTACCAAATGAGGAATGCAGAATTGAAAGAAAGAAGTTGGAGTGCAGGGAAGATTTTCTCAGAGTGAGAAAGAGATGTGATCTTCTCAAGTTCCCCATAAAGTCTGCAAGTTCTGAGAAATTAAAAATAATTTCTATTGTAAACAGCATACTTGAGATAAGATAGATTTTATTCCCTTTGAGATGAGCATGATATTTTCTATAGCAGTGATTCTCAAAAATTGTCCTGTGACTTGTTAATGGGTTTTAAGCAATCCCCTGAAGAATCTCAAATTGATTCAAATATACAGATGTTCCCCTTTGTTCTTAAGGAAAAGTTGGGTTTTATTCCATTGACTTGTCTTATTCTTATCTTTATCTATAACTAAGATTCTTTTTTTTTTTGTCAGAGACCGGGTCTTGCATGTTGCCCAGGCTGGAGCGTGGTAGCTATTCACAGGCACCCATCGTAGGGCACCACAGCTTTGAACTTCTGGCTTACAAGCAATCCTCCCCTGCCTCGGTCTTCCTAGAAAATGGCACTACAGGTGCACTCCACCACATCCAACTAACTACTAAGAGAGTTTTGTTTTGTTTTACTAGTAACCTAGTACATTAACATTTGTTATTTATATACCCAAATTAACAAGCTTCTAGAGCATACTGAAGACTAATTCAGTTTTGCACCCAGAAATATTTCACAAAGCTTGACAATATTCCTTCAGTTTTAGGGGAGGACAATTTGTTATTAGTGAATCAGAAACGTCTGTGTTGGTGAGGAATTTTAATTGCTGTTATTCTTGCTTGTTAATTATAAATTACTTTTAGGTTAGCTTAATTATTACCATTTTATTTTCTTATGGGATGTATCACTAAGCTTACAGTGTGTAGCCATGTATATTTGATCCAATATTATTTCTGGATTGTAATATCCCCAAAGCATTGAATCCCAGTGTACTTAATTTGAATATGAATTATCCATCCCCCCTATTGCTAAAACAGATGTCTACATAATTTCCTTTCTTCATTCCTCAACTTGCTTAAGCAGTGCCACTTTATCATATTACTGAATTCCTTTTCCACTGGAAGTAGTGATCAAGTAGAATAGGTAGATTATGAAGTCTTTGCTATAATATGATCAAATAATTGAAAAGCTATTGGTATATATTCAAATATTCATTTCTTCTCATTTTTCCTCATTGTTAGGAGGCACATTACTGACAAGTTTTACTTTTTCTTCTTCTGCAATTAACCAGATGTACAGGCAGCATAATAGAAAGACATTCAAAATTTGGGGAATCGTCCATATCCTTCATTTAGAGTTAACTAGGTTTGCAATTAAGTTTTGACTGCCCCAATCACTAGCTGTTTAATCATTGACAAGTTACCTAACTTCATAGCCTCAATTTTTTCAACTGTAAATTGGGATCTTAATATTTTCTAATTTATTAGTCTACTGTGATGCCTGAATCAGATGATAATAATAGTGATGGAATAAATGAACTTTATGACAAGTCAGGGACTATTTAAAGTACCTTACAAATATATCAATGAGAAGATGATAATAACAATGTTAGCCAGTATTTATGGTGCAAAGATTGGAATTATAGATGATTTAAAAATCATTCTTGTTGGGCCAGACACAGTGACTCATGCCTGTAATACCAGCACTTTGGGAGACAGAGGCGGGTAGATTGCTTGAGACCATGAGTACAAGAACAGACTGGGCAACATGGTAAAACCTCGTCTCCACAGAAAATACAAAAATGAGCCAGGTGTGGTGGCATGTACCTGTAGTCCCAGATCCTTGGAAAGTTGAGGTGGGAGGATGGCTTGGGCTCAGGAGAGGGTTGCAGTGAGCTGGGATGGTGCCACTACACTCCAGCCTTGGCGACAGAGCCAGAGATATCCCGCCCCAAAAAAAATCATTCTTGTCAATGCTAATAGAATAATGTTAGTGAGACTGACAGTTTGAACCTTGTTATCAAAAGCATCACTTTTGGTTGTAAAGAATGAAGAATTGATCTGGTGTAGAAAAACATGAATTGTAGAGTGTCTTTCCATTATATGTGATAAGACTAATTACAGAGACTTCTTTCATATGAGAGACTGTACTAATGACCAAAGATGAAACTTTGCATTAAGAATTTATCTTTTTAAGTGGAGTAAAAGCCATTTACTTCTGGAGATATAAATGGTTAAGGCTAAATGAATCTATAAGTATATCCTAGTTAGACACTGACTTGAAAGGTTATTTTCTCCCTGTTTAAGCAAAAGAGACTATAATTAATTTTGACAGATGTGGCAATTATCTGATAACTGCCAGCTTATTTTCATACAAATTACCTGATGTGGTTTATCTGTGTCCCCACCCAAATCTCATCTTGAAATGTAGCTCCCATAATCCCCACGTGTTGTGAGTGGGACCAGATGTGAGGTAATTGAATCATGGAAGTGGGTTTTCCTGTACTGTTCTTGAGATAGTGAATAAATTTCACAAGATCTGACAGTTCGATAAAGGGCAGTTCCCCTGCACACCCTCCCTTGCCTGCCACCATGTAAGACATGACTTTGCTCCTCTTTCACTTTCCACCGTGATTGTGAGACTTCACCAGCCATGTGAAACTGTGAGTCCATTAAACCTTTTTTCTTTATAAATTACCCAGTCTCAGGTATGTCTTTATTAGCAGGATGAGAACAGACTAATACATTACCCAAGAGCAAGATTGTTTTTGGTGATCAGAAGTCTTGTCTGAAAAGAAAAAACATACATCAAGTACTAAGGGGAATGTGATGCTAATCTGGGAACCATATTTGCCCTAAGAATGGAAGGACTGTGAACAACTGTCTGTGACGAAGTGCAGCGCCAAGGTGAAAAAAATGCCAGGCAAGGTAAGGAGAGTCTGGGAAAGTGCATAGAAGAAGGGAAAGAAAACGAAGAAATGGGAACATGGATTGTTTGTCCCTGAGTCCTGATACGTAAAGACATTATTATTAACATTTCCACAATACTTTCACTTTTTATTAGGCACTTACAATGTGACAATGAATTTCAAGATGGGACCAGGAGGGCAGAGATGAGGGGAAAGGTCCAAGTTGGCAAAGAGGGTTCCAGATTGCCTTGACTCTTCTTATTGCCAAGTCCAGTTTTTCCTCTAACTCCCACAACTCTCCTAAGTCCTCTTGGAAAGGAAACAAGACCATGATTTTTGCCTAACATTGTTTCTTCTTATTCTCTGCTCCCCTGGATTGTCAGATACAGCGCTCGTCCTCAGCTTGGTCACTAATGTCAATACAAGGGTAGAAAGGGATGCTGATAGGAAATCCCAATGTTTATCCCTAAGCAGCGGGTTCACTAACTAGAAAGCCTCCAAAATGTGGACAAGGTTTTAAACAGGGCACACAATATAAACTCAGCTTGGTGCATGAGTCAATAGTTGTAAAGTGATGTAGAATTCAATATGTCACTTGGTGTTATTCTAATGTGGGGCTCACATATTTGTCAGTGAAACATCGCTCTTTGTGGTAAAAATCAGGTAGTCATTTTCTAATATTAGTGTCTTACCTTAATAAGTCTAAAAAATGCTCAACGTATTATAGAACTTCAATGACAAAGATAAATTTTGAGGTTTTTAGAAGTGATTATGTTAGGAACCAGTGCTAGGAGATGTGAGACTAGTTGTAAAATGCATTTCTGAAACTATAAATTGAAAGTAATAGGTGAAACCCAGCCCAGAGACGAAAGGATTGGGCTCTGTTGGTAAGTTTTAGGACACCTGGTCATTCATATTAAAAAGGCCATTTTCACTGGGCGCGGTGGCTCACGCTTGTAATCCCAGAACTTTGGGATGCCGAGACGGGCGGATCACGAGGTCAGGAGATCAAGACCATCCTAGCTAACACGGTGAAACCCCGTCTCTACTAAAAATACAAAAAACTAGCCGGGCGAGGTGGCGGGCGCCTGTAGTCCCAGCTACTCGGGAGGCTGAGGCAGGAGAACGGCGTGAACTCGGGAGGCGGAGCTTGCAGTGAGCTGAGATTGTGCCACTGCACTCCAGCCTGGGCGGCAGCGAGACTCCGTCTCAAAAAAACAAAACAAAAAGAGGCCATTTTCTTTCTTTTGGCCCCTTACTTCAGCTAAGACTTGCAAGAAACTTAGGATGTTCTCTTCACACAGCTGTGAATAAATGTAGCCACACTTACGTAAAATGAAGTGCAACAATACCAGAATTGGTTGGTTTTGTGATGCTCCATGGGCCCGGGTATTATCGGCTTGAGGGTTAGGCAATAGTCCATGTCCTAACTGTGTTGGTCATGTGGTTGGAACAGGCATTGCTGGAGCCCTGCCGGTATATTTCTGAATTGCTACCTGAGTATATTCCTGAGTCTCCTGATTTGTAGCCTCGGAATGCTGCTGTCTTGAAGGACTCTGGGAGGATATTTAGGAAGCAGTGTATAGTTCACTTTCTTTGATCAATCAGAGATCATTCCTATGAATTTTTCTTAGAAAGTATTTACATTACTATTTATAGTAATGGTTTCATATACCGGCTTTCCCTCCGACAATGTCTCTTTTGAAAAGACAACGTAAAAGGTATCATAAACGTATATACTTTACCTAGGGGGCAGCTACACACAAATAAAACCTTTTGTAATAAAGGCTAAAATTTTTTCTGCAAAGTCATGTGATCACGAAGTTCTGAAAATGTGAAGGGTCTCAGGACAATGAAGTCCCTATGTCAGAGAGGGGGGCAGTGCCACCACCGTTAGTGCCACTAGAAATCCCAGTGTACTACAGGTACTGCAGAAAGGGAAGCAAAGCAAAAAGATTCCTGTGACATCTAATTTGTTTGACTATTTACAAATTAAAGCTTTGAGAATCAGAATTATCAGAATCATTTAATTAGATCAGTCAGGTCAGCTTTGAGTCATTTAAGCTGCAGAACTTGCATCTAAGATGAAGCCTCATGAAGCAGACTCCAGAGCTAGAATGCCTGCATTTGAATCTCTGCTGCTCTCTACTAGCTGTGTGACCTTTGGCAACTTATTTTATCACTCTGTGTCTCAGTTTCCTCATCAGTAAAATGAAGACGATAATGGAATCAACCAAATGAGGTAGATTATAAGAGTTAATATATGGAAAGTACTTAGAAAAGTGCCCAGTGCCTCAGCATGGTAAATACTATGTGAGGGTTAGCTATTATTATAATTGACCAGTTCTTTAAGACTAAATCTTAAGTTCTACCATGTCTATCGCCCCCAAATTGCTGACTTGCCTACTAGTCTAAGGCAAGCCTTCTATAAAATAAGAGGAAAATAGAGCTTCAATTTTAAGTTTAGTGTCACAGTTACATATAAAACATATGTATCAAACCCAAATAAGTACTTGTTACTATTTTCATCATTATGATTTTGTTACAATCTCAAATTATGCGACATAGTGGTTTTTTTTTTCCTTTTGGCATATGAAAGTAGGACTATTTTCATTCTTTAGTATCATTTAAAGAATTCACACATTTGCTTACTCTGGAAAACCTGCAATTGTGTTTACTAAAACATATGGATGTTTACTATAAATGCTTCATTCCTAGGATTTGCTTCCACATGTGCTATAAGGCATAATGGTGATATTTTAACTCCAGTAAAGTAATGCATGCTATAGAAATGTGTATAATGTGCTTCAAAAGATAATTTTCATCCTCATGTTAATTATTTGAATAAAATGCAAATATTTAATTGAATGTAAAAATTGATCCTATACATATTTATTTGCTCTATTTTCAGGGTATATTCAATATGATTACTATGAGCATAATTTCAAGTGACTTCTATGAAGAAGATTTCACAGTCACCTGAAGCAACAGCCTGCAGCTGTCATTATGGAAAGTCCCCAAAAGGAGCTTGGAAAATCTTGGGAGGATTTCTTAAATCTTATGAAAAAAGGGAAACAAATAAAGTAAAAAGAAATTTCTTCTCAAAAAGAAATCTGAAAATGTAGCATTAGAAACCAAGGAGGGCTTAATCTATTGACATTTTAAAGTCTTACCACCCAGATTTCTCATTCATTGTTCATTTTACATTCTTATGAGCTTCGTTTCAACAGTGCTTAAAAATTGCTGCATATTCTTAAGCCACTAAAACAGATGCAAATTGAGATGTGGGATTTCTGGGCTTTAGAAGTAGTTGCAAACTGTGTTTTTAGAAATGGATCCCATACTAACAAGGGATAAACATCAATGCATCAAGAGAAAATGGTGTAGCTCACAATTAGAAAATATGAGTTTACTTCATTTTGTTTCCATCAAAATGAATCCTGAAAACTTCACTGAGTGTATGTCTCTCTTCTGTTCAATGTATCACTTAAAGGACAGACACATTGATGGAAAATAAATGGACCAAGACGGGCTTTGTGAATCCCAGATCTTACTGTTGGTATGTTTATGAACACTAGTATGTGAAGGCTACAGTCTAGCATTTATTTTTGCCCTCTTTAGGATACTGTGAGTCAAAATATTTTACATAAAATGTACTTTCTTGCTCCGGTTTTCTATATTGTTATCTTTACATTATACTGTACTTTTGGTATTATAGCAACTCAGTGTTTGCACCATTAAATCTGACTATAAAGTGCCTCTGATACCATACTTTGTTATATTTATGTTTTTAAAATATAAAAACAATATACTCTTGAGGATAAATAGAAACTCAGAATTGCACAATTTCAACTCATTGGCAATGTGACTTTTCAACATTTCATATAGTGCACTTACATCACTCATAAAACAGAATGTTTACAATTCTTATACTACTTAAAGAATCTCAAAAATGCTTAACATTTGCATTTCATGACATCTTAACAAAATATGGAGTCTTAATGACCACCCCAGCTAGCGTAGGATTTTCATGTAATTTTTAAAATTTTAGACAAAGACAAGAGAAATAAAATGAATGAACCTGGAGTCCTTTATGTTATAGACTTTTATTTATTTATTTATTTATCTATCTATTTATTTTGAGCTGTTTGCAGGTTCTTGCAGGGGAGCACAGCTACTCTTGACAGGAATAATGGTCTTCCTCTATCTGGGAATGTCATCCTCTTTGACCAAACATGCAGCTTCAGGAGGGATGCATGGGACATGGTAGGGAGGAAAGGGATGCCTGCTTAGCCAGCCACATCAATCCAAATCAAAGTTGGTGATCAATGGGGTGATAGATGTCACAGCCAGATCGCCTTCATATCTGGTTTTTGATTTCCTGAAGAGTGCTCAATGAATACTTACCTATCCTTGATTTTCACACACAAAAAATCAATTTTTAAATCATTATCCTTGTATCCTCTTCTGGACCTCCTTGAATGGGTTGCAGTTACTCTTGCATCCAATATCAAATGACTCATATACCCTCACACACATGCATACACACACACTCACAAACAGCACTAACTGAGAAACACAGGAAAATTAATCTGAGTTGCTGCATTTTCTGAAAATACCTGAAAGATAAAGAAAACCAGAGAAATATTTCATCCAGCTGTGGAAAGTCTCTCTATATTTTCCATGAGTTCTGCTATCCATCAATATTCAGCGAAAGTTGGAAATAATCATCCCAAAATATCTTCTCAAAGAAAAGCAATCATTTAATACAATCTCCTTATCCCAGGTGTGTCATTTGTCTCATTTTAATCTCAACAGTACTTTCTGTCTCCCTTTTGCACTCAGAAGGTGAGTTCAGCTTATGGTCATATCTAACTACCTGTATAATTTTAGACAAGTCACTTAACCTCTCTGAAATATTGTTCATTAATTTCTAAAATTTGTATAAAAATATCTGGCTTTATCTATCTTACTGGGCTCTAGTGAGGATCAACATGAAAATCTTGAAAGTGAAAGTGTCAAGCACTATTAACATAAACTATAAACTTTTATGTTTAGTATATACAAACAATCTTTTTTTAATTATTATACTTTAAGTTCTGGGATACATGTGCAGAACGTGCAGGTTTGCTACATAGGTATACACGTGCCACAGTTGTTGCTGCATCCATCAACCTGTCATCTACATTATGTATTTCTCCTAATGCTATCCCTCCCCTAGCCTCCCACCCCGCAACAGGCCCTGGTGTGTGATGTTCCCCTCCCTCTGTCCATGTGTTTTCATTGTTCAGCACCAACTCATGAGTGAGAACATGCAGTGTTTGGTTTTCTGTTCCTGTGTTTGCTGAGAATGATGGTTTTCAGCTTGACCCATGTCCCTGCAAAGGACATGAACTCATCCTTTTTTATGGCTGCTTAGTATTCCATGCTGTATATGTGCCACATTTTCTTTATCCATCTATCATTGATGAACATTTGGGTTGGTTCCAAGTCTTTGCTATTGTGAACAGTGATGCAGTAAATATACGTGTGCAAGTGTCTTTATAGTAAAATGATTTATAATCCTTTGGGTATATATCCAGTAATGGGATTGCTAGGTCAAATGTTATTTCTGGTTCTAGATCCTTGAGGAATCACCACACTGTCTTCCACAAAGTTTGAACTAATTTACACTCTCACCAATAGTGTAACAGCATTCCTATTTCTCCACATCCTCTCCAGCATCTGTTGTTTCCTGACTTTTTAATGATCACCATTCTAACTAGCATGAGATGGTATCTCATTGTGGTTTGCATTTCTCTAATGACCATTGGTGATTTGCATTTCTCTAATGACCAGTGATGATGAGCTGTTTTTCACATGTTTGTTGGCCACATAAATGGGATCTAATTAAACTAAAGAGCTTCTGCACAGCAAAAGAAACTATCATCAGAGTGAACAGGCAACCTACAGAATGGGATAAATTTTTTTCAATTTATCCATCTGGCAAAGGGCTAATATCCAGAATCTACAAGGAACTTAAACAAATTTACAAGAAAAAAAAAAAAAAACAAAAAAAAACATCAAAAAGTGGGCAAAGGATATGAACAGACACTATACAAGCAATCTTTAGCTAGACAGAAAGAATTAAATCTGAATATTCCTCCATTCTGAGAGTTATGTATGTCTCTTTAGCTTTTATAGAGACCTTTTCCTATTTTATTTATTTGTTCAGTAAACCTTTTTGAATATTACCATTCTGAGTGATGAGTTCACAGTCAAGGTATGTGCAGGGAAACAGGTATAGCATCTGAAAAAAAGAGGAATATGGGTCTCACTTTCTATACCTGCCCTTGCTGTTGAGCTTCCTGAGATCTAGGCAGGAGTGGCATGAAATGGCTCCGCATGGGGGTGCTGGTACAGTGCTCCTGGTGGCTGGAGGGATGACATGCAGCCTCCACTCTGCTTCTTGGCCCATGTACCCTGGTCAGAGAGGTGCTGTGTCTACTTGGAACTAATCACTCTTTCTCAATCTTCAAAAGTCAAAGTGTGGGTTAACCCTGTGTCTCTCTTCCTTTGGGATCCCTACTTATCTCTTCAGGCTGAAGAGGATCATTCTTAACCTTCTAGGAAATGCCAGCTTCTTCAGGTCATACGTTACACAGTTTTTCTCTATGTTCTAGCCATTTCTCAGACTATTATGCAGGAAATTTGCCTGATTATATTTTTCTAACACCCCCACAAATTCCACCATATAAGAACTACCATAGAGATAAAGCTACATCAACACGATAGAGTGTATTACCTGTAGGTAATATGACATGTCATTTATGCCTTTGACGTCCCTGTCCCTAAGCTCTTGGGGTCAAAAGATAACACACATTTCCTAGACTTTCCTACCCTCATTTTTGCAGTTTTACTGCATAATATTTGGGTTGATATTCTCTGTCATTTCTTCATACTTCAATATAATTAGTGTTCTGAAAGTATGCTATTGATATAATTTGGAAAGTTTTAAATCTTGAATGGTACACAGAGAAAAGTTAAAATTTTAAGTAGGAATGTCCAATTAATCTACAAAGTGAACTTTAAATATTCCCATATATTTTGTCCTCAAAAGTCCTTATTTTTCATTCATGCATAATCATTACACAATCCAAGAATATAGAATTATTAAAGCATATAAATTCTAAAACTTGTGGCTTGTTCCTGGAAATAATTACATTGATTGAGGCACTGCATATTTGAAGTAGAATGTTTTTGTGAGTTGCTGCAGGAGAAAACTCTTAGGCTTCATAAATCTAAATTGAGTGACTGAGAAAAAAAGAAAAGGTCTATAAAACTATGAATACCTATTCTAGTAAAGGATGCAAAAATTTCAATAAAGAAATAATTGGTAATCTTGAATTCAGTGACAGAAAATTATAAATCTGTCTCTTTTATGAAGTCTCTTGTGTGAAATATGGATGAGTTGAGGTTATAAAAAAGCATGTTTACCAGCAGGAGCCTAAATCAACATCTTTGAACATGATAGTTCAGAAAGTAGCAGGGAGCCGCTGTTCCTGACATAGGCAACTCTGACATTTATTTATTTAATTTTTAACTTTCCCACTGCAGCCATCCCTTCTCCTGCCCTGTCCCTCCCTACTTTTGCTCTTGATTAAAATAAACCATTATAGCATTAAATCTGTCTACCACAGTTAATTACTTTAGTCATGTGCCAAAGCATTTAGTTCCAGCACCTTCTCTCTATGGGTTTTGAAGACACAGCTTAATATTAGGTTGTTTGGTGGTTGCTGCACATCTTCAAACCATAAAGACCACGCCAAGTGCTCCAAGGAATAATGAAATATTAATTTCCAGACAAAAAATTAAGTGGCTTAAAGAAGAAGCTGTTGTCTATCCCAGGAGTGGCTTTTAAGACATTGATATCTGTGCTTTGAACACATCTATTCTTAGCCATTCAAACCACACGTAATGTTCCCTAAGTAACTGTCTGCCTTTAATCGAGTAGCACACAGATTGAAACCACCAATCCCTTCTGTTAGGGTATCACTACGAAAAAAGGCTCCCTTTTTCTTTTCCACAGTATTTTATTGTTTGATAACATTACGCCAAGATAAAAAACCTGTTACTGTTTTGTAAACACTGGAAGAAAAAAATAAATTCAACGCTTAAAGGAATAGCAACACCCAAATATGTTGTGCATATGGATTTGGTCATGCTGCTCCCTCCTCATTTCATTAAATACCTTATTTGTGACGAGAAAACCACAAATGCCAAAAGGAAACCTTTTCCTCATTCACCCACACACCAAATATTTATAAAGTAATTTTTGTGTGTCAGGATTGAAATGTGAACATTCCTATCCAAAATTTAAAAAAAGATTAAGACAAAAATGGATAGAAATAAATTGTTGTAAAATTGACTTCAATAACACTAGTGCTCAATAAATATTGAACAATGATGAAGTAGTTTCAAGAAGTACAAAAAGTAACAACTTATTCTCAGCTCTATATTGTTGGCCTTGAAATGGAAAACTCCATTCAGAAGTGTGTTATAATATTTGATGATGGCCTCAGCTTTTCTACTTTACTGCCAATTTTCCTGCAAAGCAAGAGCATGGTGAATGCTTAACTGACTCTTAAACAACCATTATTTGTAAACAGTTTGTGGGGGTAGGCTGCCGAGGGCTATACTGGCAAAAGCGACGAGGCAATCACAATAAGAATTGGCTTTGGGAAGTATTCTTGAAGCAGAGAAATGCTTGCAGAGAAAGGCAGAG